TTTTACACGTAAATCAGACGGTATGTAAATCGTATGTAATAAAATGTGTGTATTGTATGAACATGATTGTTCTTCATTGTAAAAGAGTTTTGCATTTTCTTAAAAAGACATTATAATTACCTTTTCCGAAGTGGTCTCAAGTATAAGCCCACCCTTACTTTCCCCGATTTTACATGCTCAGGCCCTAGGCTTGACGAAGTACAGTGAGATGAAACAGGGCCACTGTGCATTTCAACACACGCCAACCCATGGCCGAGATCAAACAGGGCCACTGTGCATTTCAACACACGCCAACCCATGGTTGAGATGAAACAGGGCCACTGTGCACTTCAACACACGCCAACCCATGGCTAGGATGAAACAGGGTCACTGTGCACTTCAACACATGCCAACCCATGGCTGAGATGAAACAGAGCCACTGTGCACTTCAACACACGGCACGCAAACCCATGGCCGAGATGAAAGAGGGCCACTGTGCACTTCAACACATGCCAACCCATGGCCGAGATGAAACAGGGCCACTGTGCACTTCAACACACGCCAACCCATGGCTGAGATGAAACAGGGCCACTGTGCACTTCAACACGCCAACCCATGGCCGAGATGAAACAGAGCCACTGTGCACTTCAACACACGCCAACCCATGGCTGAGATGAAATAGGGCCACCTTCAACACACGCCAACCCAGTGTTCTCCACAAGGGGTTTTAAGCGGGCGGCCCTCGCCCACCAACGTACATCCAGCTGAAATTATTTGTAAAAAGCTTGAATTGTTCTTCCCAAGCCTAAACAAAAGAGTAGTTGCCCAACCCTTTATTTTGCTATTGTTTCAAGAGTTCAAACATAAACAATGACCACTGGAAGTCTGCAAGCAGTTATGTGTCACTCGCCTGAATTCATTGTCGCCCGACATTGTTGCCACTTAATGCTCACGATACGCAACTACAGTGGTTTCAATTTACAGCTGTATTTTTAATAATTGTCTTCCGATCACGAAAGAAAGAAGTAAATATGAACGAAATGTATATGCACAGAAAATAAATAAATATATTAGCAGATTGCATGTAAACTTGAACAAAAATTAAAATT